TTCTTTCTTCTCCGGACTAAATTGGCAGCGTTCAACAATTATCGTTTAACAGCGAGTAAGCGATATAGGCATTTACGACGAGATCTCTCGGTCAGCTTGAATGATCAGGCGATCAGCGATCGATGCGTAGTACGAATTATTCACACCTTCGAAGCATCGGGAAACACTTTACGAATGTTTGAACTGATCGAACATAGGCGGGAAGAGCTCGTCTTTTGAATGACAATGAGCGTTACGAATGGCATTTTTTTGTAGTAAAGTGTTCCGAACATTCGCTCAATTTTCGGCAATACGATCACCGAGCGAGAATAAAATAAAAATGCCCCGTCAAATTCCTGTGTTTATCCGTCAAGTGAAAATATTTTCGTAGGATTAATAAAAAAAATTCCGATCGTCACGAATCGCATTGTATTGATTTCACTTTTCATTTACTGCGGCGAAATATTAAAATTCTCGCGGGAATAAAAAATTTGTTTCTCTTTCTATCGCTCAATTAACGCAAAAATTAAATTTCAACTAGGAACTGGAGCCGCGTCGTGTCAAAGAGTAATTAAATTAACGATATTACACTGTCTGTTTAATCCTCGCGCGAGTTATTGCAAATACTTTTATCCAATTCGACCGACGACTATCGCGCTTCGAAGTCTGGCAGAACGTAACGTTGATAAAATTTATAGAGAATTCTTCCTATTCTTACTCGTGGATCACATTGCCAAAAAACTGTATCTAAGAAGCTTCTCTATTTCATTTCATTAAAAAAAAAAAAAAAAAAAAAAAAAACAGCAGAATTAATCGTCACAAAGTCACTCTATTCGTAAAGCGTTTTGCGTAGTAATCACACGCGGTATTAGTTGATAATTATTAACAGTCCATTCAAAAACAGAAAAGAAAACTATCAACTCGCATTGAAAGAGCGATCAGACGTGATCGATCGGCTTAAAAATGTTATCGTTCTGTATTTACACGTACATTCGCATGTAGCCGGTCAGATGAAAAAGTTGAACACGACACTGGAACGACAGTTACACGATTCTCAGTTGTCATTAGTAAATGGTATTGTATTAAAATCAGTGCAACGATCGTTCATCTACCAATGCATACCCTTCTTGAGAGAAGTAACTCGCCTTCTTTTTTCTTTTTCTTTTCTTTTCTTTTCTTTTTTCTCTTTCCGTACGTTCATTCTCTTTTCTTTTTCTTTTTCTTTCGTTTTCTTTTTATCTTCGACAATAAGCTGAAGCACTAGATGCTGGCACAGTGGGTACGTACACAGCACACCGACACACACGCACGCCACATACGTACACATACGTACACGCTTGAAAGATGCGCGATATGCAGAATATGCATTCGGGCACTACAGTTCAAATGTGCGAATAAGAAATACGGCATACGTATAGGAATAGAATAATAATGCTGAGTGACAATAAAAAATGCCATCTGACTTGCGGCGCGTACCATTCGCAATCGAGGAAATATGCCGACGATGATTCGTAATGAATTGAAGAAGAGAGACGGTGGTGGATGAGTAAGAGGTGTGTGAGGTGTGTGAGGTGTGTGAGGTCCACGTGTGAGAGACCAGCCCTGCACGAATATACCTCTTTCTCTTTCTTTCTCTTTCTATGCTCCTGAAAAATTCGCTTTTCTAGGTCATCTGTCGTTAATTATAACGACGGCTCTGCGCGAATTAACTCCATGAATTTCGACCGTAGCCAGCGTTTTCGAATGTTTTTCCCTCGATTTTTTTCTTTTTTTTTTTTTTT